CTTCAGGGAACACCAGTCCTCAGTGTGACCGGGTTTATGTAGTTCGGTTCGAGGGTTTCGATTGGCTGTTTGCTACCATTTAATCCAATTGGTCAATAGCAACCGTTTACTATGGGTTGATTGTTGTTCCGTTGTCATGATTATGATTTTATTCACGGTGCGTAGAACAGAGACGTTTTTAAAACCTCATAAACTTTTAAGATTCTAGTGTTCCAACTGAAGGTAGATAACAGACAAACTCCGTGTGGTTATCGATTTTGGTTCCGATGATAAGGTGAGTTTTGTGATGCGAAGGGGTCAATTTGCCCCCGTTATTACATATGTCCTCGCGCTACCGTGATGGGGTCAAAATTAACTCCACTTTCGTCCTCATGTGGTTAGTTGCGAGATACTTATCTTTCCTTCTCTGTGATCCATTTTGCGTTCCAGGAACCGATTCGAGAGACTGAGGATCACATAGATTCCATCTGGGGTAGTTCGTCAACCTCACAGAATACTCGAAATTTCACTTGGTCTTCGCGAATCAAATTGGACGATGAAGTGGAAAATGCCTGGATGATGAAGGTGTTTGCAACAACCAATGAAACAGATAAAAATGAGGTAACAGTTCTTTACACATTTTATCACCCAAGCAACCTATGGAGATATTATATATATATATATATGTATAAACAAAAACAAAATGCATTTTTCAATCATATCATTCTCTTTGCGATTTCAGACTGTTGTGTCGAACATTCTGTACGACAAATCTGAGATATGTAATGTCGGGGATGAAACCAAAAATCTACTGCACGCAGCCGATCAGTCGATTAGCCCATCCTCTTGGCCTCATCACATGCATCTATCTCCGCAAGACGGTTGTCATATATGCCAAATTCCGGTAGAATCATTTACCCTGGCACCAGAAAATGCTCCATCTAATGTTACCCCTTACTTTCCAACACAGGTTTCCGTCGCCAGCGCTCCACAACCATCGTTTACAAAAGTAAGTCACTGATGAATCATTTTGAGAATATAAAGAAGAAAAAGCAATTCGCAAAAATATGCTTTGAATTTAAATCTTTCGTATGTTCATAAATTCATGTTCACATCTATTCATTTATTCACATATTCATCATAGCTCATAATGGTATGCACTAAATGTGATGTTCTGTAATGTTTATCTTACCAATATCATGAAAAATAAACCGTAAAATATTGCCCGCCAACAGCTGAGCTCATCAACAATCAAGATAGAAAATCTCAAATATAAAAGCCCTAGTGCTATCAACTATATTTGTATGTATATAGGAACACGTACGAAGGCTTTTTATCGCCCATCCCAATCAGTTCGATCTCAGTGCACATAGATATGACACTCCCATGTAAAAAACAAATACAGACTATCCGTTTTCGTATACCGTGAAATGCGCAACAGTGCTGGAGTATGACATTGCGCGAAAGTGCTTGATCTCCAATATTTTCTATGAACAGGGCCTGTTAAGCTTGTAGTCAAGTAAGCCCTTTTGGAGTGCTATGATTACTGAAGTCCATATACCACGATAGCCAAGCTCCTAAGGTCTCCAACTGATCGAATTCAGGCGACTCCTTCCGATTTTCCCCAATTTCTATGTATGGCAGCCCTTTCTATTGACCAATATCCCTTCCCGAAATTTGTTTATCAACACACACATGCAACAAATAGAAAGAAAAATAAGGGAAAAGATTACAGATATATCCTCACATTATGAACTAAAATGTCGGTATAATGACCTTGGTAGGTGCACTTGGCAGCTACTTCCTGTTGAGCTTCATGCATTCGTCTCGGTGAATTCGTCTTATTTAAGAATGAAAGCGTTTGAAACTACGGCTCCATGTGTTAAACAGTCACACTTGAGGCTATCCAGTTTACTCTCCTCCTGAACACATTTGTTTTTACTTTTATTGGTATCGTTTATTCGAAGAGTGGACAAAGAACACCACCTAAACTCATTCCCGGAAACGCATTGGTGATTTTCGGCAAAATTTACAATCACTGTTTCAATAATTTATTCCAACATGCGGATGCACCATTGTCCATCAAGGTCAGTATAGACGTGTTTGCGTTGAATATTAGAACAATTTGAAATAAGTAGGTGTTACTCAAGAGTAGTGCGAAGATGACGGTGAATTTTTACGGAATACATTTCCATGCCCACGCGAAAACCATTTGAAACGAAATTGGTCGTACTTCTAACTGTACNATTTCAAGTGAGCCCTGTTTACCAGCCACTATCATACACACCGGTACATCAGTAGTTCTGACCCACCCAATAGTCAGATTCTCGCTACTGAAGAAAAAACAGGTGTTGAAAATTTCGGATCAATGACGTAGGTTTCCGCGTAGCGTGAACCCAGTTCTGGTGCACAGGGTCACATGTGCACAGTCCCCATTCGATCCGTACAAACGTGTGTATATCTATTCCCTCACTAAAACGCAGATAGTGTTAGTCGTGTTTGGTACGGTCAGTCAACAACATAGACGGAGGTGACTGTGACAGAATGACACCAACTGCACCAGTTTCTATCAAACTTTAGATGAAATCCGCAGCCTTTTAGCCTCTACCTATACTCCTTTGACCGAAACCTGTTATCGTTTGGCCGCGACCGGTAAAGCGTACAATCGGTGGATGAAGAATTCATGCCTAGTTATGGAAGCATTTTTTTTTACAGTTCAGTGCAGTAGTTTTTTGTTTACATCGACTTATCTCGTAATAATTTTGAATACGTAGGCATGTTAGTCGGAATCAGTGGGAAGATAAACGGTAATTTCGTGCGGAATTCCTTGCCTACGGGTACATTTTATTTGAAGGGAATTCATCGTTCTTCTAACTGTACGATTTGATAACAACTCCAAAGAAGAAGTTTTTCGAAAATTTAGAGATCAGTCGTAGACGCTGAACTCATCTACTTGTTGATTTGTGATTTCTGTTGTGTCTATGACGACCAACAAACGCGTATTTCGCTTTTCATCAGCGAATAACTTTTGGGTACCTGTGGAGCCTTGAAACGTAGCCTGTCGGATCCTGAGCAAGGACTCCTACCCCCGGATGGCAGCTAACTAATTCATTAAATCAATCATAAATCTTCCAATATAATCCCGTGGATTTGTAAACAAAATTATCAGTGTGTATTTATTTTTCTTGTAACTGACTGAAACCAAATCAAGAATGTGTTTTGGCCCCTATCCTGAAGCTTTGTAGTTTGAATACCAACAGGAACAAAATAAGTACGCTATACTAACAAGTCATCAAAACGGAGAGATAGACCTTCTGGTCCGTTTTTCGGCCACCAGAGAATCATTTACAAGGAAGCACATTATGGGAATTGACAAACTCCCTGGTGTTGGGAACCACGCAATATTAACAATCACACACAGACTGTCTAATGCCTTGCATAAAATAAGGAAGGGAATATTCAATAGAATTTGTGCCTGTTCAGTTCATAGAAATTTATGACCACTATGATTTGAGAATAGTCCTAATTGGTGATATCTAATTTCAAGTTGATTCACTGTTGCTTACAAGAGAGGCAAATTATAACGCCTTTCATCTATGGAGACTTTTAGCCCGGTCTGATCAGCGTATGTTTGAAAAACACTGAACAATTGTTTCTGAGCCATTTTTAACTTTGTAAGAGAACGCAAACTTCGAGTTTTATTGGCTGATAGTGGCAGTAAATACAAGGGCTGAGGAAACGGTTTCCGGATACGCAGTACACGTAAAAGGTGAGGATGACCAGTCGAGGAAAAGGGAACTGTAATCTATTGTGAATATTGTTTAGGGATTACAGCTCACAGAACCAAATATCAACAGCCGAACACAGCTCACAAGTCCTAAGAGTCATTGTATTAGTGCTATAAAAACCACAAAACGCTGCCTGGACGAGACAGTTAATGAAACGATCCACTATTAGATGTGCATTCTTGTAATTACCACACTGAACACAGCAATTCTTTCCAACAGGTCTTGTTGATTTTCGATCGTTGAAAGGATCCACCAATCATATCCTTTTGTGTACTGCTCACAGATGCGAGTCGCATCTCACAGCACTGCTCCCCGGCGAAAATGAACTCTGCATGCAGCGCACAGTGAAGTCTTTCTTTTGATAATTTGAACGGGTTCGTATTTGGTGGTCAACTTCTTTTGGTTTTTCTGATTGATTTTTGGTGACTTGGTCATCAGGTTGATTTCTGACGACTCTTTATCGTACTTCTATGGTCCTAGTGCTATCTTCCGTGTTCAATTTGATACACACACGTATCGCTATTCGTCTCCTGAACGTTGTGAACTAGATGCTTTACTTTCCGTATTCTACATGATATAGCCAATCTGGACAGTGACGTTTTTGAGTCAAGGTAGCCGACTCGACCTCCGAAATGGTGCTTGTACTTTGCTTCGGTCACTTTTAGAAGCGTGTCTGGTGTTGGTTTCACTTGTATCCTTAGCTTACTCATTGTTTTGCCTGGCAATCTGACATAATTTTGTTTTCCGTCGTGTTCTCAATAGAGACAGTCCGATTTGTGGTGCTGTCAAACTGCGGTTAGTAGTCGCCGCCAGTCTTCACTACTGTCTTCCAGGACTCTGCTGATTCAGTTGACTGGGGTTTGGCCAATGAAACTGCAGCACGTGTCTGAAAAATATGGCTCCTTTTGATGCCCCATCTCCACGTGGATCTAGATGGAACAAAGATAATCCTTCACGGAGGGGCCTTGTCCGAGGACAACAATTTGAACGAAATCAGGGATTCTCTCACGGAATAATTGCCCTGTGTTTCGAGGCAATTTTTTTGCAAGCACTTTGGCTCTTTGCGTTCACAATTCCCCTTTTTGATAGCTCTCTGGTAGTAATCGGTTCAGATGCCCACCACCTCCTCTGTTAGTCTCTTGAGAGTTGCCGTAACTCCCTTAGGCTGGCGTCTAGGGCCTTCGGTTGACTGGATAGGTGTAACTTTCTCCCAAGTGAACTCCCCTAGGACGTCCGTCAGTTTGGATACATCTATGGTCTTCTCTGCATTAATTATCCATGCCGTCTCCCGCAAGTTCTCCGGCAGTCTCTCCATGACACGAACGAGCAGTAATTCCAAACGCGCGGTATCGTTCAACGTCGGGAGCGCTCGAGTCAACAGTGTGTGCAGGGCCACGGCATGCGACAGGGGGTCCAAGCCAACTATGAGCTGCGTCGTCCCGAAGCTCCGCAACGCCTCCTGGCGGTCAGGTGGGGTGTCAAAATCCGCGGTGGTCTACTTCATGTTCTCTGGGCCTCTTTGCGCCGCATCCAACACCGCCCTCACCCGGCCTTTGAGAAACATTCTGAAGGCTGTCAAATTACCCCGGTCCGTCCTCAAACTCCTCCAGGAAAGTTCACACGTCTCCATCCTTGAAAGCTGCGGACCACGGAACCTTCACTTTATCCTGGCGACGGAAACGGTTGTGATGAATCCACAAGGCTGTGTCTGAAAGAGGACAGCTGATGGAACGGTCCACTATTAGATGCGCATTCTTGTAGTTACCACATAGTAATTTGCTCCAACAGATTTCTTCATTTTTGACCGTTGAAAGAAACTGCAAGTCGTATTCCTTTGCGAACAACTCACAAATGTGAGCACTACCTCACAACACCAGGACTGTAAATTTGGAACTCAGCCGATTTTACTAGAGGGCGATGACTTTTTACGATTACAACTGTAGTGTAAAGCAGCAGCGGAGTGTTGATCGTTTGTAGGCCGCCAATGTTGATGATGCGCCTTCAAGAAGCACTGTGTTCCCAAGTGTCAAACGCATGATTCGTAGAATCCGATTCGAACCACAAATAGCTGCAGTCGAGGCCTTCATTCAACTGTTCGAATGGTTACTATCTGGGCAAGGCCGGATGGTTCCATCAAATGTGCTCAACTCATAGATCTGTTCATCAGCGCTGTTAGAGAATAATTCGATAAACCATAATGCTTATTTCTTTATAACAACTAAAACTTTTTATGTTTTTGTAAACCTGTTGCTCAGCTCTCATAGAGCAGTATGAAGAAGGGCTTGAACATGATTCCATTTGTTGTATGCAGCACTACGAAGGAAAATATTTTGATTCCGTGTTCTTCTAACCCACATTCACTTGACATGAGAGTTCATCCATGTTTCACCTACGTAATCACACTCCATGAACTAATCGGGTATTTATCCTACTTCGGAAGTGCAGTGAAGATCGGATATGGAATATTATGAAACTATCGCCTAGTCAATATGAAATGATTTCCTTGTGTTCAATGCAGTTTACGAGTAACACAAAAAATTTTGATTATATCTTAGTGATGTGAGAATACACAGTAGTAACCGAGTGTAAAGTCCTAGTTCAGAGAAGAGGTTACAAAGAGCTTGCCTTTTAGCAGTCAATCGAAACTGCACGGAAGGAAAAAAGCAGGGTTTGACAGATGAACCATCATTTTCCGACACTATGTTTGTTGTCGTCGATTTGTCTGCAACCTGGATGAGCAAAGAAAAAAGAACAGTGATTGGATTCCAGAATAGAGCAATAAAAGCTCGGTTGGATCAATAACTATTTCGTTTGGATATGCACAGAATGATTGCGAGTGCGGATTACATTTGTTTCCGCAACTGCAAAATTGAATTCAGTCAGATGGGATGCTTATGTAGTTTGAGAGAGAACTAGAGTTGAACTTACTAATACCTAGTAATGCCATGAAACCTACTACGAAGAAACTTTATTCACGTACCGTTATCTGTTATCCTTGTCGGTTTGTATGTACAGCCATCGACTAATTTCTCCGATCGAAGGCACACGGGTGGCAAAACCATTTCCTCCATCCCCGTTCAATCAACGAAACGTGTGGACAGTTCTGATGCGGTTGAGGACCATGCTGTTCAGAGCTCGCACGTTTCGCTTCGTCCTTCGGAACTGAGCGCAGTCTCAACTGCCAAGGAATCCGCTCTGTTGCCCATCATACAAACAGAACCCGTGTCTACCATATTGGCCTCGTGCAAGACAGCGGATGAGGTACCATCATTTCAAGTGAGCCCTGTTTACCAGCCACTATCATACACACCGGTACATCAGTAGTTCTGACCCACCCAATAGTCAGATTCTCGCTACTGAAGAAAAAACAGGTGTTGAAAATTTCGGATCAATGACGTAGGTTTCCGCGTAGCGTGAACCCAGTTCTGGTGCACAGGGTCACATGTGCACAGTCCCCATTCGATCCGTACAAACGTGTGTATATCTATTCCCTCACTAAAACGCAGATAGTGTTAGTCGTGTTTGGTACGGTCAGTCAACAACATAGACGGAGGTGACTGTGACAGAATGACACCAACTGCACCAGTTTCTATCAAACTTTAGATGAAATCCGCAGCCTTTTAGCCTCTACCTATACTCCTTTGACCGAAACCTGTTATCGTTTATGCACCACTCGTAGTCTTCCATTCTCGTCGCAGAAACCTGAGTGGTACTGCTGTGTGGAAATCAGGTGAATACTGTTTGTCTTCTGAAAGTACTTACACGTTATTGTGAGTTAACTGCTAATTATCAATCCAACCTAGTATGTCGGTTTGTAACCGGTTGATTCGTAACCTAATTGGAAGTTTTGGCTGTTGGGAGTCTTTCGATTGGAGTTAACCTATTGGCAACTGTCGTCCTTCTTTCCTCTCGGGTCTAACTGAACTGACTGTTTATCTCTGAAAACAACACCTGAACCAACGTGAATTGGAAATTGGGTTCAGCCCTGGCATGTGGTGGTTGGCACTGTGTTGATACACATATATCCCATACAATGGGTCCGAAGTTCAAATCTCGAAAGGGACGGTGGATATTTACTACTGATGAGCTTTAAGAAGAGCAAAACCCGCGTCTGGTGTTTCTGAGTGCATGGTTGAATGAAAGATCAGAGGAATGTATGTAAATTGAAGTCTGAATGAAGTCGCACTGATGATGTTTTCTAGCTTGGCTACGAAAATTCTGTGAACAACAACTCGGAGAACTCACCAGCACCAACATGCGCATTCCGAGCTACAAACATTTGACATAATTTCCAGAATGAGATACATTTTCGACGCTGTCACCGCCTTTCACTTATCTGTTAGCT